ATTTGAAGCCGAAGCGGTTCACTGACTCCTCATCAAATGAGGGACGTGCTTTCCACACAGAGCATACTTTTTAATGATTTATTACGATATCATGATGATGAGTCAGGTCATGAAAATATTGCAGCTTTTTTGTGAAACACAGATGCAGGTTGTTGTTTTCATGAGTTACCTTCTGTTCCGTCCATGAAAGCTCTTCGAGGTGCGTTATTCAACAGAATCGGCCAAAAGGAAAATGAAACCCATATGTGAGGAAAATGAATAATATACACTAAGAAATGACTGCGGGTGCATGGTCTGCTGAGTCACCCGGGTCTGCTTCAGCTCCACCTCTTTGCCCATTGTTTGATCAGCAGGCAGTTAGGCTGTGTCTTCACTTTGAGCTTCACATTCAGAAACCTATGGGTGGAGACTACGTCTATATTTGATACAGTCTTAACTCTTAAATACCTTCACCACCTTTTTGATTAATGCAGGCAGCAGCAGTCTACAGGCTGGAAGACTGCCTTCAGCTAATTCAGTGGAACACGCTCAGCTAGATGTATGTGGAGACATGTTGTTGCCTGCTATGAATGAAGCGTGTTGTTTGACATCAATGAACACTTTTCTGGCAAGAGCCTGAACATTTCATCTTGAAATAAAACCACAATCTGTTTTTTTATATTGTTTAAGACAATAGTTTTTAGGTTGCAATTGTGTTTTGGAGTTTTGCTAAACTTTACATCCATTAAATGATACACCACTTGATAAACAGAATATATGTATGTGAGCCCACACACACACATACACACAGGGCATATGGTGCATATTTCAGAGTTGTTTCCTATTCTCTTTCTACTGTAGCTCACAGCAGCTGAAAGAGACAGCGATGGAAAGATAGAGAACAGTGCGTTCCCCCTTTGGGCACAGCGCGGTTGCAACATGTCTTCATTACCGCGGCAATTGTCTTTCTATTTTCATCAGTACTAGGGAAGGCGCCTCCATAACTGTGCCGACATGTGTGCATATTGCAATAGACGAGATAACTGTTCCGTTTGCCGTTCAGGAGAGTTTGCCGCCGCCGTCATCGTATCTTCCCACTTCAGTTCAAAAATCAACTGGGGGGGGAGTGCTGGAAAGCATCAAAAGCACTGAAAGCAAGTCAGTTCATACCAACACCAGTGATACGTTTCAAAGGGGCTGTCCTGGTCGACTTGCTAAACCACATCTTTTTATTCCTACACACAGACAGACAAAAGTTTCACTTCTCTAACACCTCAGGAGGGAGACCTCTCTCCCTCTCCTCCTCTTCCTCCTCCTCCTCCTACAGCTTCTCTCTTGCACTCACTTCTGTACCTTTCCCACAATCCTTTGATAAAAGTGCAGATAAAAGAGAGTCTGTGCTCATCTCTCTGGCCATCCACCTCTCCTTGAGGTTAGCGCCTCCTTTATTATTTACTATTAGATCAGTAAACATACATTCACACACCGCCTTGTTCTACTAAAGCTGCTGTGTGTGTGTGTGTGTGTGTGTGTGTGTGTGTGTGTGTGTGTGTGTCCCTGGCTGGAGGCGGTGCAGTGTGAGGTTTTCGCTGCTGTCTGAAGTCGTCCAGCCTCAGTGTCATTAGAGGATCTCTTTAATCCAGACTTTGGGAAAAACTTCTGACAGCACGCTGCAAATAGAAGGCCCCGCCGCACATGAAGAGCAGCTCGGCTCCTAACAAAACACCAAGTTTAAAGAGGCCCCTGGCCTTTTTTTTTTTTTTTTTTCTCCTCCCACTATTCCCTCCCTTCTTTCTTCTCTGCTTTTTTCCTCCCCCCTTGCCCTCTGTTGCTTTTACTTCACCCTAGGGAAACATGCTTGCCTTATCTGCGCAGAAGGACCACCCAGGAAAGATGACTCAGGCATCGGTGTGTCTGTACGCCCGTGTGTGTGTGTGCGTGTGCGTGTGTGTGTGCATAAAACACTGGAATTGCACACTCATCTGACTGAGTGTAGCGCTCACATTTTTCAGAACTTTAGCTGTTAATATTAATGCATGCCTATACCTGCATGGATCGCTCTGAGTGGCGTGTTTGTTGGTGCTTGCGTGCGCGTGTGCCTCGCTAATCCTTTGAGCCAAAGTTTGGAATGAAAGGCAGAGGTGCATTGCTGATGGAGAGGTGAGAGAGAGAGAGAGAGAGAGAGAGAGAGAGAGAGAGAGAGAGAGAGAGAGAGAGAGAGAGAGAGAGAGAGAGAGA